GCCCAATTTGATCGCTTGTTAAGGGGGCGCCTGCCGGTTTCTTCACAGAGCAGGACTCTCTCCCTTACTTCTCTTACTCTTTGGCCTGTCTATGCCTTGATTTCTTACCAGCTTGTGAGTACAGCTAACACTTTTTAAACATTGTCTTCTATAGTATCTTCTAGAAGAGGTTCAGTCCAGCGTTTTGAGCAGTTTCAGCTTCTGTGGACCTGACCGCCTCATTGCTGGAAGCCAGTCCGGATGTTCCCAGTGTAAACATCCCCCATACTGCTGCCCTTGGGACCCTTCCCACCCCATCGCTGTAGATGTCACTGTGCTCCAGGGCGAGTGATACACCAAGGCCCTCAGTGACCGCCCCAGCCTTGCCTCCTGCCAGCCCCAACCCACCAGTGCCCAGCAGGCTACTAATAGTGCCCAAACTCTTCATTTAGGCACTCCGAGCCTGCTTGCTTTTGGGCTGAGCTAGCCCCTGCTCCTCAAAGTTAATGGCCATGGGGATTCTGCCATCAGAAGCAGCAAAGGTAGCACAGCATCTGGTTTGTGACCGTCACTTGGCACGCAATTATTAAGCACTGTTTTGGTGTCTGGCACTGTATGTTGAGCAGGGAGATAACAATAAAGAAGACACTGTCGTGGCAGTATATTTGAAACACTGAGGAATGTAGGGTGCTCCTGCTCGTGGGGTGGAGCAGGAGCAGGCAAGGGGTCTCAGAAGGGCCATCTTAACCCAAATGAAGATGGGAGAGAGGGCTGGCCCACAGCCTCTGTTCTCTCTCCAGGAGGGGCATCACAGTGGGGACAGGATGGTGCTGTTGGCATTGCTGCCTCTGCCCGTCTGGTCTGGCCCGCCTCGAGCCCTCCTGGGCAGCCTGTGAAACTCCTCATCAGCCCTAAAATCCTAGCTCAGGCCTTCCTCCTCTGGGGAACTCCCGTCTCTGGGCTCCTCGCCTTCCTGGAACAGAGGAGGGTGTCAATATTTCTTTGTTACCTCTTTGTCCGTCTTCCCCCTACACGCACGTGTGCACGCATGTGCGTGCGCGCACACACACACACACAACTGGGAGCTCTAGAAGACCGGAGACTGACTGATGCTAATTCTGCCCTGGCATCCCAGCCTTCAGCAGAGTCTGGCTCAGGGCAAGGGCATCAGTGAGCACACAATGACTCAGCCGTGACCTCAAACAAGTTCCTCTGTCTGGTTGTGCTTCCTTTTCTTTTCATCTCTGACACCGAACAGTTGAATAGGTGGTTTTACTGAGGGTGCTCCCAACTCTAAAAGGTACACGCTTGTGAGCTAGGCGCTCAGTTCTCATACTCAAGGTTGTGTGTGTGCGCGCATGTGCGCGTGCGCGCTGTGTGCTTTGATTAGACGGAAGATGAAGAGGGCTATTTGGTTTCTTTGAAAAAGTGTGTCCTTCAGCAAACCCCATAACCTCCTGGGGTGGCTTAGGGAGTCGCTTGACACCCTAACCTGGCCTCCCTCCTTTGGGACACCCTGGGACTGGGCAGGCACCAGGGCCAGGGGTAAACGTATTGGGACTACCTGTTTTGCAACATTTTCCTCCGTGCCCAGCAAAATGGCTTCCAGGCTTTGTGGACTTTTGTTACCTTTTTTGAGGTAACAAACACCTGTGTATCCCTCAATGCACAGAATTGAAAATCACCATATTATCCTAGTTGTTTCAAATAATTTCAATTTCAGAGAACTAGACTATGACAGATAAAGGACCTTTTTATTCCCCATCTTTAGTGCTATTAAAAGTTCATTTATCATACACTTAGAAATGGTTAAAAAGGTAAATTTATGTTGTATATATTTTATCACAATAAAAAATACTTTAAAAAAACGTTTGCTTAGGCCCGAATCAGAGTTTGGGCACAGCTAGGTCTCCCACCTTTGTAGCTTAGTAGCGAATGAAGCGTATCCTCTCCTTGAACTCCTCGTGGATGCGGCTATAGCCCCACCTGCTCCTGGCCCAGGCTTCCCCATCCTCAGTCAGTGGCGCCACCATCTGGCTGCCCCTGCTTTGGCCAAGGTTTTTAACTCGTCCCTGCCCCTCACTCCCACACCAGTCCATCAGCCAGCTGTCACCCCACCTCCTGGTCATGTCCCCAGTCCTCTGCTTTCTTCTTAGGTCTCAGAGTGATCCACCGAAGATAAGAGCTCTCGTCCACGTCCCCTGCTCAGAGCTCCCCAGTAGCTTCCCATCACACTTGGGATAAAACCCGACAAAGCCTTCCACGTGCCCCCTTGAGGCCTCTACTGCGCAGAACCTCCTTCCCCCACATGGCCTCGTGGCTTGCCCCCTCACTTCCTTGAGGCCTTTCTCTCTCTTCTCCCCCAGTAGCACCATGTGGGTTTTTTTCTTCATTGCTTTCTAATTAGTTCATTCTTTTGGACATTCACCTTGTCACAGCATTGTCCAACGTGAGGAGCCCCTTCAGCTGGCACCTGTGTCCTTTTTTATTTTTATTTTTTGACTCTCCCCGTTACTCTCTCCGCGCCCCCCTGCCTTTTCGCCCCCACACCAGACCACCCACTTCTCCCAGGGTCCAGCCTGGTTCCCTTCCATGGACACTAGGCACAGTCTCTGCCCCTGGGATGCCATCATTGGGCTTAGAATATGTCCCAGCAAGGGTGCACTGTGGTCAAGTATTTGAAATGAATCTTTTCTCTGGTATGTTGTCAGTTTGATATAGTTGAATTCGTTTCTGGTTGCATTCAGTGTAATGAGGTTTTGTTGCCTGTTTGCATTTTATTTTTGGTTACATAAACTTCTACCTGATTCATGAATTGAAATTATGCTCTGGCATAGCCAGAGAGGCCTCCCCAGTTCCTAGTTTCTGCTGCGTGCTTCCTAAAGGCCCCTTCTTGCTCACACAAAAGGCAGCCTATGGTACACATTGTTCACCTCACAGTAGACCCTGGGGATCGTGCCCCAGTGGGCCGGGGCACTCTCCATGGTGCGGACGTGCTGTCCCATAGCAGGTCCCTGGAGGCAGCTGTCTGAGTTGTCCGCAGTCCGGGGCTGGTAAAAACAGTGCCATCGCAAATAACGTCACCCTCTGTTGCTTTGCGTTTCTGGAGGCGTCTCTTCAGGGTAGATTTCTAGAAGTGATTGTCCTACATTGCATGGACACCCTCGATTGTATCTAAGAGGTAGTCCTGGGGTATGTGGCTTATACTCGCCCTCATGGTAGTGATCTTTGGGGAATTCAAATGAGACTTCTGAAGAAGCCAGAGTTCCTTCTATTGGTACAGTGTGTTTCTCGGACTCTGGGACTGCCCGGGGCCCAGGGCGCAGCCCTGGCCTTCAGCAGTGCCCATCGACTGTGTGGAAGCGGTGGTTCCAGTCTGTCCACTCTCTGTGGCCACAGGCCATGCCCAGCTTCTCAGAGTTTTTCCTCATTTCCTGTCGAGAAGCTAAGATTGGGAGAATTGAAAACTATGCTCTGGGCTGGAAGAGGTTAGGGACCCCTACTTTACAGCCAGAAAATTTCTCGTGTGGGCCAACGGCTGAGTTGGGGTGACCCTGGCAGGCATGCTCAGGGCCCTAAACTGCCAGATGAAGATCCAGAAAAGAGAAGAACTCAGGGTAGAGCCCAAGCCAGGCCGGGACACACCCTTACCACGACCTGTTCCCCCACGCCTGACCCGAGCTGCTCAGGAAAGCCGTGTGTCCTTGTGGCGCCAAGTGATCCCTGGTGCTAACCTGCCTCGGGTGACTTAACTAGGTCATTCGACTGTGGTTTCAAGTGCACACCACAGTGCCTTCGTTTGGGTCTCCACAGTGTGGACAGGAAGGGGAGTCGCTCGGGGCAGATCAGCCACGGCGCCGAGGTACAGAGGACAGGAATAGCCCTTTGCCCTTTTCCATGACGAACTGCCAGCCGAGGGACTAGCAGACGGCTGCTTCTGAGCCCACAGGTCTTTCCAGCCTCCCCTGGTCCCAGTTGTGTGCGTGCCGTCTGTCTGTCTTAGCCCGGTCGCGAGGGCGTCGTGGCCAGAATCCGATCCCGAGGTCCAGGGCCTCACGGCGAGCGTGTCTGAAGTGCACAGGGAAGGAGCCGCTCTGTTAGCATGAAAGAGTGGGGGGGCGCCCGCCCTCAGACGGCTCGGCGCCCCTCTGCGCCTTTCTCCTTGCCCTTCCCTGCCACTGGCGAGGCCGTGTCGTAAGGGGGCGTCCGGTGGTAAAGGCTCACCTGACCTGGGGTCACTCCTTTTCTCATGCCAGAACCCTGGGCCGTGGTTTCTAGGTGCTCGTTAGCCAGTATTTACATAGCGCCTTTGTGACTTTCCTTCCTCTGGGGTGTTGGTACCCATTGTCGAGATGAGGAAACTGAGGTATGGGATACTGAGGTCACTGGCTCAGGTTCGTGTTCGGAAACGTCGGAGTCAGAATTCGCGCTCAGGTTGGCTGGCTCCAAACCCGTGTGCTCCTTCTGCAGCGCTGCGCTGCGCGCCGCCTCCCGAGGGGGTAGGGCAGGGCTGTGATCCCTGTCAGGAAGTCGTGCTGTGCCCCATGGCAGTTCTTTGTCGAGCACACATTTGAGAAAAGCCGAAATACAGAAGCTGCAGTGACACCCAAGCCAGCTCTTCGCGCCCCAGCCCGGGTTTGGGTGGGCAGCTTCCTCTCCGGCAGCGGAGGGCCTCCTGTCAGCCGTCAAGCCCAGAGGCCCTCGGGTGCAGCCCGTAAAGTGGCCTTGGCCAAGGTGGCCTGCTGAGAAGCTGCACAGTGTTTCTACTCCGAAAAAAACGCCACCCGTGCAGGCCACTTACCCTCCTGAGCACTAGGAGTGGGACTCAGGGCGGCCACAGTGCGGCAGCGTGTGGTCGGCCGCCACTGTCAGCAGCCCAAAGCCCCTGAAGGAGTGCGTGAAGGGAAGAGCTTCAAGGCCCGGGCAAGCCCTGCCAGGGCCACTCTGAGCCTGCCGATGCTCACTTTTTCTACGAGCCGGTGTGTCCTCTGTGGTACTTACATACTTGTTTAACACTTCAGGGAAGAAAAGTCAGAAGACCAGGATCTCCAGGGCCTCAAAGACAAACCCCTGAAGTTTAAAAAAGTGAAGAAGGATAAGAAGGAAGACAAGGAGGGCAAGCATGAGCCCCTACAGCCGCCAGCCCACCACTCTGCTGAGCCAGCGGAGGCAGGCAAAGCGGAGACCTCGGAGGGGTCAGGCTCAGCCCCAGCCGTCCCAGAAGCTTCTGCCTCCCCCAAACAGCGGCGCTCCATCATTCGCGACCGGGGCCCCATGTATGATGACCCCACTCTGCCTGAAGGTTGGACCCGAAAGCTTAAGCAAAGGAAATCAGGCCGCTCGGCTGGGAAGTATGATGTGTATTTGATCAAGTAAGTAAGGGCACCTCCTGTCTCTGCAGAGCGGGGGGCTGGCGGGCGGGAGGTCGGGTGGGTGCTGAAAAATGATGGGGACCCCTTGGAGTAGCAGTTCTTCGCTGCTAGTTGCTCGGGAAAATGCGTGTGCGTGACCCCACCTGGAGTGGGGGGCTTCGATCATGAACACGGCTTGCAGGTGTGCCCAGGTATGCTTGGGTCGACTGTGCAGAGGTCTGTGCCCTGCGTGAGACGCGCTCAGGATCGCAGGGTGTGACTTCATCCTGCCGGCCCTCGAGGCCCTGCCTGCAATGGAACAGTAGTAGGGCCTCCGCAGGGTCACAGTGAGAATGTCAGGAGAGGTCACGGGGCCTGCCACGTGCAGGGGCCCAGACTCTGGAGGCAGGCGACCCTCCCTGGGCTTCCTGCCGTTGCCCAACTGGAGAACGTCCAGCTGAGGGACGCTTCTCAGAACCTGTTAGCCTGGTCTTCCTGGGAGAGTTTTTCGGTGGCATTGCTTCATGAACCCGCAGGAATAGGAGTTCATAGGGCTCAGCCCGCTCTGCCAGTTGTGTTGGGAAAGGTGGGCTTTGGACAAGGCCTCTGGGGAGGAACACCAGCGGGCTCCAACTGCGGCATTCCAACTGTCTTCTTTGCTGTTTGTCCAGCTTTGGGGGGGTCACCGGCTACTTTCTGTTGAAACAGACTAACTTCCAAGCCAGAGCAAGCTTCAGAGGAGGAGTGAATAAGTACATTTCAGTTCTGCCCCTTAGACAATCCCCGAAAAGGTTAGCAGTTTTCAGAGGACGTTTGCAGCCTCGTTTGGTTCCAACAGGCCTAAGGGTGAGCAAAGCATTATCCTCCTGACAGACGAGAAAACCGCCCTCCAGAGATGGTAAATGGCATGTCCAGGCTCAGAGAGGCCGCTCTGCTGGCGGATCGGGCCCAGGCACCGGCCTCAGCAGGGGCCCCAGCCTGACACTGAGACAGGCTCCCCAGGCCAGACCCTTCTGGAGGCCAGAGGCGGGGCCCCAGTGGCAGGCCATTTTGGCATTGGAGCAGGCCATGCCGGCGCCTGCCACTGCCTGGCAACCCAAGTATTTCGTGTATGACCGTGGCCGTGCTCCTCGAGTTTTAGCTCACCTTGGCTTTTCCTGAATGTGACTCTCGTTCAATAGTATCACCAGGCAAGTCAGCTGTGGAAGGTCTCCTAGCAGAGTTCATTGCTACCTTCTGCTCTACCCCGTCTCTGATACTGCTGCGGAAGCTTCTAATCACTTTTTGTGTCTCTCCATTTGTTCCCACAGTCCCCAGGGAAAAGCCTTTCGCTCTAAAGTGGAGTTGATTGCGTACTTCGAAAAGGTAGGCGACACCTCCCTGGACCCTAATGATTTTGACTTCACGGTAACTGGGAGAGGGAGCCCCTCCCGGCGAGAGCAGAAACCACCTAAGAAGCCCAAATCTCCCAAAGCTCCAGGGACTGGCAGAGGTCGGGGACGCCCCAAAGGGAGTGGCACCGCGAGACCCAAGGCAGCAGCATCCGAGGGCGTGCAGGTGAAAAGGGTCCTGGAGAAAAGTCCCGGGAAGCTGCTCGTCAAGATGCCTTTCCAAGCTTCGCCAGGGAGCAAGGCCGAAGGGGCCGGGGCCACCACATCGGCCCAGGTCATGGTTATCAAACGCCCTGGCAGGAAGCGAAAAGCCGAAGCCGATCCCCAGGCCATTCCCAAGAAACGGGGCCGAAAGCCAGGCAGCGTCGTGGCGGCCGCCGCTGCTGAGGCCAAGAAGAAGGCCGTGAAGGAGTCGTCCATCCGGTCCGTGCAGGAGACCGTGCTCCCCATCAAGAAGCGTAAGACCCGGGAGACAGTCAGCATCGAGGTGAAGGAGGTGGTGAAGCCCCTGTTGGTGTCCACCCTTGGCGAGAAGAGTGGGAAGGGACTGAAGACCTGCAAGAGCCCTGGGCGGAAAAGCAAGGAGAGCAGCCCGAAGGGGCGCAGCAGCAGTGCCTCCTCGCCCCCCAAGAAGGAGCACCACCACCACCACCACCACTCAGA